ACAGAGGAAGAACAAAGTGCAAATGACTTTCAGTACAATAACTTTGGATGCTAAATTTGATGTCGAAATTGCGTTGAATAAACGTTATAATGGAAAGGTAAATCAGAAAGCATTTAATTGCACCGATCTTTCAGCACAATTCGACAATGCTGAAATGAATGCTTCAGCAAAACTGTTGTATCAAAGTTGTTTGGTGTGTAAATTGAAATCTTTTGGTCTATGGGTTTGTCTAATTAATAATTTCACTTCACTTTCGCATTTATTTTTTTTCAATCTTTCTCTGTCTCCGTCAAATAGCTTTACATTTTTAAATTTTTACTGTATCTTATACAGTGTCCTCTGTCTCAAGAAATATTTTTATCTCTATCTAAGGAATTTATCAAATTTAGTTTCTTTTTGCTGCTTCTTTTTTTTCTAAATTAAGGAGGAACAAACTACAAAGAAAAAAGAACAAGAAAAAGCTTTTTGCTTGTTAAGATTTACTTGACGAGGGTACTGATTTTTTTATGGCAACAAGCAGTGACACCTGTCTTTGAGTTTAACTTGGACTTTGAAATTGGCTAAAAAATTACGTCAAACAAAAGTTAATTTGAATTAAACTGAGAAAAATTTTTCAATTTTCAATAATAGACATAAATTCTTTATATTATATTTAATACACACCTAGAATTGTACATTAAAAAGTTTTGCTGAATACTGCTAAACAGATAATTAATAAATTACAGAGCGTTTTATTTTGTAAAACTAAAAATGAAGTTTTTTTTGTATAAGTTTCAGAAATAAAGAGTGATTAACAGTTATGCAATTGAAAGTTGAATGCTTTTGCAATGTTTTTCTTTTTTATTCAATGCATTACTGCTTACTGTTTGGTTGTCTTTTATAAGTTTTTTACATCTTCAAATAACACTTCTTTTTATCTGCCATTCAAATGTTATATAAAGTAAAACAAGAAAACAGCAAAAAAAAGCTTAAGAAAAAATAAACCTTTTTTTTTTTTTTTTTTTT